TCAGAAATTGTAAACAATACATCCATTTACTTTTAGAACATAGCACTTTTCAGCAATCGTGTAATTTTTTTATTGATGAAGATTTTCACATATTGTCTATAAAGAAAATACAGCAGAAATATTAACAAAGTTCTTGAAAAAACTACAATCTATTATTTCTAATAGATTTCGAGATATCGATTTTTGAATTCATTTTTGAGTTCTAATAGCGCGACCACTATCGACCACCCACTCAATTCCATTTATTTTTACCAAAAATTCAAGTGTTTTTAGCTTGCCCTTAAAAAATTCAAGCTATAGGGAAAATTACAACGACTCGTTAATAAATAAACAAATTAAGTATCACAAGACATAATTAAATCGTGAAGCTGAACGCATGACGTACACCTTTCCCTAGAACTTTAAGTACTGACAGAGGTATTGATTGGGTCGACCGGTCAACTGCGACAAATCACTTGTGCCTAGCCCTAGCAGGCAACTATTAATCCCGACCAATCACGTTAGAGTTTATGACAAACACAAATGAATTAACACCCTTCAAATAACCATGCTAACCAACCTGATTAGTCAAGCTTAATAGTTGACTGCTAGGGCTAGACACTTCTCGACAAATCTGCTATATCCCCTCCACGTCTCTTAGCGATGTGCATAGTTTCTCTGTTTATTTCATACGTTTGGCAACGTGTTTACTATTCTCTCTTTGTTCAGTACATTATTAACGCATTATACTCTTCTTACATACGGAAATCTCGACCCAAGACTAACCTTTGTCAGCCCTTAGTATAATTAAAATAAATATAAAAACTGATAAAAAAACATATGTAAATCATATCTTCAAATATTATGATTTTTAAAATTATATGCATATACTTCTAAAATAATACTAATATTGTCAAATGCATATTATTATTGTTTATATGGTATAATATAGAACAAGGAACGCTCTTTTAAGCGAGACATAGTTCGTTAGATTTTGATTACCCAGTCCGGAGTTATTAACCTTTAAATAAAAATAGATCTAACTTTCCCCCACCAATTCAATTTAGTCAATAGAACAAAATGCCTCCAACAAAATATATCCAAAATAACTGCTTGGCTGCCGCCTAACAGTTTAGAAAAGAAAGCTGCTGTTAAAAATGTATCATAAAAATATATAAAAATCTGACTTCATTCTTTTATAAAAATACTCAAAATCTTTTTAATGACTTAAGTCTTTTCTAAAAAGACTTAAATCTTTTTTTATTTCGGGATAAAGATTTAAATCACAAGTCATTTTGAAAAAGACTTTTCAAAGTCATTTTGAAAAAGAATTTTTTAAGTCAGATTTTGAAAAATGATTTAAAATCAAATGACTTAAGTAAAAAAAATGATTTAAATAAAAAAAAAACTTAAGTTTTCTGTGAGCTTACAGCTCTGATCACTCCTAGAGCTGTTTGACTATCAGATAAGATGGGTATTTTTTGTTCCCGATAGTTCCTATCTAAGTTGTACGCATCTTTCGATAGCGTAGATTTCTGCACCCACTGATTCGGAGTATTTAGTTTTCGATCCAAATATAGCCTATCCAATGACAAGATCCTTGACAGTGATAGATGTGTCTATCATTTTAATTTCAATATAGTTTATTTTATTTTACAAAGAAATAAGTTGGTACAACTGGAACGCATAGCAGGAAATTAATATATTAAAAATTTGACTGATAAGTGATTACTTCAAAATATTGTGAAAAAAACTATATAAAACTGAAAAAATATAATCAAGTTATTTTATTAAAAAAAAACGGTATGAGTTAACACAAAACAAACAAGAACAAGCATTACTTTCAAGCTTCAAAAAACTTCCCGCATTTATGATTATATTTATCAATATAACTTATGCACAAATACAAATTTGTAATATTCCACAAGAATTTAATCTACCAAATTTTATACCTTAGAAGTTGATTAATTAACTTTAATCTAAATTTTTTTAAACCAGTACCTTTTGACATTATTTTTCTGCAGTACCTACTAAAATCCATTATTTACCTATCGTATGATGTAGATATTTTACAGCTACTCCAGTTTTTAGTATATGTTTAGTACGATCTTTGTACCATATACGAGATGAACTCATCTACGACGAGATGGTATACAAACTTTATTGATAATAACTTTATTGGTGTATAAAACTTTCTGCCTGGGCAGCGAGTATTAACAATAAACTGTGCTCTGGGTCTACAATTAATTTTTCCTCGATTTTTCCTCCATTTGACTTCAAAAGACACAAAACACACGTAATAACACGAATAAAAATGCATCATCTTCCAAAACGCAGGGTATTTGACATAAGTTGACACAGAATTATAACCTATAATTTGGCAAAACTTTGACAAACCTCAAAAATTTAAAGGCGAGTTCATAGGCATCGGCGTCTGTTTGTCGTTCATCGTTCCGTCAAACCAATAAAATTGAAATATGATCTGTCATTTTTGAAATAAACTAGTAAAACTGGTTAAAAACAACAAGAGACGACGCATGACGGATTCATATTTAAACCCATCCATAGTTAGCTTAAAAAATATTAGAAACTTTTTTTAGTAAAATAAATAGATTGGTATGGGACGTCATCTGCTTTTCATCTGTCATCGTCTGTCGAAACCTTACCTGAGAAAAAAAAAACAGAGTATACTCCTATTCTTAGTGGAACACCCGGTATATATATCGCAGCTGCATCTAAGAATATGAAACTTATAATCAAAGTATAAGTATCTACGACAAACTTTAAACCATTCTAAACTAAATATATCTTCTACTCCAAAATCTTAATACAAGAATGTGCTTTGTAATTTGAAAAGTTCCGCCTCTAATACAATATGCATATAGTTGTTCGGGTGGCCTATATTCCAAACAGCTTACTAAAGTAATTTGAAGGGAATTACGGCCCGTAATGACAAAGTATAATAATGCAGGAAAGTGAATTAATAAAATAGCAACAACCTTTTTAGACGCATAAAATACAAGGCCCTAGATTAGGAAAAGGGCACCTAATGGTTGTTTAATAGGGTATTTAGAGGTAAATAGGTTTGTGCTAGTATGAAATCAATTTTAAATTTATACCTAGGCCTATTTTGTATAGTACCAATTTTATTAAAATTTCTCAAAAAATTAGAGCTTTTGCTTGACTTCAAATTTCTATGAGACCCCTTCATAGGCGAACGTAATATTTAATAATACAATAAAAATAAATTAAATAGTAATAGCATTTTTTTCATTTTAGGATATTATCTAAAAATATTTTTATAGAGAACATCTACTGTTTAGGAAGATTCTATTATATTCAAAAATTTCAAGGAAATGTTTGAAAAAATGTAGTTTGAAATGTTGAAAAAGTCATAAATTAAAAAAATATTTTCTTATGCGTAAAAAATAGTTTTTTATTCGTAAAAAGTGTTTTTTCTGCGTAAAAAAGGTTTTTTTAACAGAAACAAATAGTTTTTGAAACGTAAAAAATAGTTTTTTACGTGTAACAAATAGTTTTTTTACACGTAAAATTCTTTTTTTCTGTAAAAAAGTTTTTTACCAGAAACAATAGGTTTTTGTCGCGCAAAAATTAGTTTTTTACGTGCAACAAATAGATTTTTACACGTATTTTTTTTTTGCGTAAAAAAAAAAAATTTACCAGAAACAATAAGTTTTTGACGCGTAAAGAAATAGTTTTTTTCACGTAAAAAATATTTTTTTTTGGGTAAATAAGTTTTTTACCAGAAACAATAAGTTTTTGACGCGTAAAAAATTTTTTTTTACGTCTAACAAATAGTTTTTTACACGTAAAAATATTTCTTTTTGCGTAAAAAAGATTTTTTACCAGAAACAATAAGTTTTTGTTTCTGGTAAAATATTTTTTTACGTTTAACAAATAGATTTTTACACGTAACAAATAGTTTTATACGCGTAAAATAATAAAAATAGTTTTTTTACGTGTAACAAATGGTTTTTTACACGTAATAATTTGATTCACTTTTACAAAATTTGTATTAAAATATCAATATTTTTGATAAACACGAGGACTGCGCATAAACACACGTCGCCTCACTACGTATTTCTAAGCCATTAACACGTTTCGTTACAACTAGCTCGTGTGACAGGGCCGTCTCAATAGTTCGTATGTCACGGCCTTGAATGTTTACTCCCAGCGCGCGTAGAGAAGTTTCACTAGGGTAAACCTCGTGAGATGGAAAGTTTCCGACGACGACTACTGCAGAGAATGCGGAGAGGAAGAAGAAACCATAGAGCACCTGCTGTGCCACTGTCCGGCACTGGAATACCAACGCTTTAAAACTTTAGGGCAAGGTTTTTTGGAGGGACTAGAGGAAGCAGCAGAAGCCAACATCAGCGACATCGGGAACATTGCAAAGAGCTGGAAGTGCTTTAACGCAAAGAAAGAATGAGAGGAAGGTTTGGTCAAACAATACAGGGGTATCGCAATGGGCCCAAGGCCTCCGAGTGAGGGATCAAACATGATCCCAAACCCCAGCAACCTAACCTAATCTAACCTAGATAGTTATTTAGTTATTTTGATTTTTTTAAATTAATAATTAATTTTTCTGCGAAAAATTTATGATAAAGAATTTTTGTCACAAAAACATTTCATTCATTTAGTTAACATGTTTGATTTATGTCAAAGATGACAGGTATTTAAAATTTCGATTCCAAATATCTCAAGAACCATTACTCGTAGCGATTTTTACCAAGACACTTTTTTTACGTAAAAACCGTTGTAAATGTATTTTTTTTTACTCAGTAGCTTTATACAGGTACGGACGAAAAATTATTACTTTTCAAACCGGTTAAAAAATATATAGGTGGCGCCCTCTACAAGTAGGAGTCATATTGACATCAAAATCAAATTCTTCACATCAAAAAACTGAGACTTATGATGAGTCAAAAAAGCCTCCCCTCCTCCCATACAATCTAAAATCTACAAACCCTACTCTGTTTTATTCATTTAGATATACTAACCTTTATATGGACATCCTAACAATTCCATACGCAAACAAACTGTTCTTCTGTGGATACTGTAAGGCAGTAGACGAATTTTACTGGCAAAAATAATCGGCATCAGCTTGTGACTCTCCACTGACGCAGTATCACTGTTCCCACGTAAAATCTGCAAAGAAAAATAGTTTTTTTAAATAAAAAAAAGAAGTATACTTTAAAATTAAAATGATAGACACATCTATCACTGCCAAGGATTCTTCTCGTCGAACAGACTATACATTTATTAATAAAATAATTACATTTTTTTAATTTTAAAAAACACAGACCTAGTTATTTCTTTCGTTCTAAGAAAACAAACAGAATCGAATCCTGAGGGAAATTTACGTAAAATAATAGTTTTGTGTTGATTCCAGACAAACCGGATTTTCCGCTTTGCCTTTTCTCATTACTAATTAAGTTTTTCAGCTAGGAAGAAGAATTTCTTATTATGCCATTTTTATTCCTCCTGTCTAAGCCAATTTTTCAGTTAGCTTTAATTAAAGGAGTGTATACAGGAGCCCATCTTAGTCAATTTTATTTCATTTTAATTAGTAAAATGATACTTATTCTATGACGTACAGGGTGTCCCAAATTGGAGCTTCATCATTGGAATCTCGGGAACTACGAAAAAATGGAAGAAAAGTTGTACATTTTAATGCTGATTAAAGTGCCAAATTAAAAATTAGTGTTAATTTTATTATATACTAGCGTGTACACGCGACTTCGTTCGCGCCGAATTAATTATATGTAATGGTGATGATAAAGCAAAGCAAGAATTTCCATTAACATACAAACTGGATAAATTTTTCTCACGTTTATCTCAGCATGAGAAAAAACAATATGGCGATATTATTATATAACTTGGTAATATTTGAGGGGTAGTTTTATCTCGTTGGAATTTGACTTTCGAAAAATCCGTTTGCCAAAAATAAGCTTTTTACGCCAAGCAGTTTAAGCAGAATCGTGGTTAGCCACCAATTACTCAACTTTTTAGAACACCCTGTATAATTGTTTTCGGCTGATAGTTTCTCTTAGCGTATGTTCATAAAACAAAAAAACAAAGCTATCATATATTGAACACGATTTACAAAGTCTCTTTTATGAAAAGAGAATTAGAATAAAGACGAAATAAATTGGACCTTGATGTTCTTTTTATTATTTCGTAGATAATAAATCTTATTAATTTTAATTCTCCTCCGATAGTCGTCTAACTTGGGAGCACCGCCTTGGACTGTTGTGTCTTGGTAATATCTCTGACAAAAGATGCACTCCTTATCTCCGCTTCGGCCAGACAATGAGCCGGTTTTGTCTCAGAATTTCTCGGTATTTTTAATAAGCACAATGGATGTCGCTCCTCGTGCCCAGTGACTGATCCTCCTCTCTCTGCCTGGCCTTAGTTTTTGGTCTTTTTCACAGTGATTTAATTAATTTTTCGCTTGAAAGCGCTGGGAGAACTAGTTTTGCTTTTTGGCCTTTTGCATATTCATCGATTTTTCAAAGAAATACAAGAAAAAAATTAGTTTTCTCTATTCTTCTATTTCTATGTTAAATTGCAAGGTTGTAAAATGTTCTAAGTTCCATAACCAACAACATATATAAATCGCTAAGTGCCACGGCTATTAAACTGTATTAAAAAAATCCCAACAGAGACACCGTCCGTTCTCATACATTGGTTATATAACAAAAAATGTTCTTTATCTCAAAATATTGATTTTGGCACTTGGAGCATTATTTACTTCATGTCTACAAATATGTAAAACAACAAAATAAAATATACGTGTTTAAGACTTTTTCTCTATGATAATGAATAAAATGAAAAATATACGAAATAATATACATGTACTGATTTCTTTCGAAAATCGACAACTATGAGACCATGATCCCTTGCCCGACACAAACGGTACATTATGAGACAGGAAATTGTAGAGATAAACAAGCCCTATAACATAAGATACAACATTTTAATGAACAGTGCTTTCCATAAAATGAATAAAATGAAAAATATACGAAATAATATACATGTAGTTATTTCTTTCGAAAATCGACAACTATGAAACTATGAACCCGTCCCGGACACAAACGGTACATTGTGAGACAGGAAATTGTAGAGAGAAACAAGCCCTATAACACTGGATACAACATTTTAATAAACACTGCTTTCCATAAAATCAATAAAATGAAAAATATACGAAATAATATAGATGTAGTTATTTCTTTCGAAAATCGACAACTATGAAACTATGAACCCGTCCCGGACACAAACGGTACATTGCAAGAAAGGAAATTGTAGGGAGAAACAAGCCCTATAACATAAGATACAATATTTTAATGAACAGTGCTTTCCATAAAATGAATAAAATGAAAAATATACGAAATAATATAGATGTACTGATTTCTTTCGAAAATCGACAACTATGAAACTATGAACCCGTCCCGGACACAAACGGTACATTGTGAGACAGGAAATTGTAGAGAGAAACAAGCCCTATAACATAGGATACAACATTTTAATAAACACTGCTTTCCATAAAATCAATAAAATGAAAAATATACGAAATAATATACATGTAGTTATTTCTTTCGAAAATCGACAATTATGAAACTATGAACCCGTCCCGGACACAAACGGTACATTGCGAGAAAGGAAATTGTAGAGAGAAACAAGCCCTATAACATAAGATACAACATTTTAATAAACAGTGCTTTCCATAAAATGAATAAAATGAAAAATATACGTAATAATATAGATGTACTGATTTCTTTCGAAAATCGACAACTATGAAACTATGAACCCGTCCCGGACACAAACGGTACATTATGAGACAGGAAATTGTAGAGAGAAACAACCCCTATAACATAGGATACAACATTTTGAACAGAAACAATTGTGATTGATTAAAATTTTATTTTAAGATGAAACTTTTGTTAACAACATTTTGAGAATTCGAATAATGAATTAAATAATGACAAGACAAGTGACATCTGTCTAAAAGAGACAGCGGTTTAGTTATAGAGTCACAATTTGGTTATGTAAAATTTAGAGTGACAATTTTGATTATGCAAAAGAAATAAATATTCTATGAGTTTACTGGTTGCCTGAGAATTAACATTAATATAAAAATAAATCCCCAACATGAATAATGAACAAAACATTTAAACAAAAACAGACCACACAAAACAAATTGTTAGTTACTAGCAATTAGTAGTAGTCAGAGATATAGATGTAGTAGTATTTTGGTTTAATTATCTTTTTTTAATAAAAATAAAAAAAATATTATAAATTATAGAGATAGAGAATTAACCTCTGTAAAACCGTATCAGATACGGGCTTTTGTCAAAGTCTTTAGACTGTATGATGAGTTATAACTCAAGAAAGGGGGACACAATAGATATGTACAAATCTACAGGAAAGTTTCATTTTATTAACATAAAAAATAGTTTACTTAACTTTGTAAATAATTCGAATATCTAACCAATTTAAAGTTCTTATTTAAAACGGCATAAACTGAGCACAGCGCCGGAATTCTCCGGAGGATATCTATTATGTTTATTAAAAATGCCGAGAAATGCCGAAACAAAAACGCCATTGTCTTTTTACCGTCCCAAGATGAGGCAGTCTCCGAACTGTACGCTTTTATATAAAGGATGTAAAAGAAAAGGGCATTATTTCGAGGAATAGTCTCGGGCGTATTGCAAGAAACTTAAATTTGACAACAAGAAATTTTTAACGAGCCAAAGAATACGCTTGAAAAGGTTGCAGTTTGTAGTTTATTCGAAAATATGCATGGTATTCTGTAATAAAATATATTCAGGTTGAATTTAAAACTAAAAAATGCGTTTTGCCTTTTAATACAAAGACAAAGGAAGGTGTTTAATATTATTTATACTGTATGATTAAAAAAATTTTGTGTTCACTATATGGGCATATTTGAAGTGAAACTTCTTACTAACAGCTAATAAATTGAAGGATTTGAACTATTTGAAGGATATACAGAGTGAGTCTTAAATAAGTGCAAATATTTTCAGGGCTGGTAGATATCGATAAAAGAAACATATTTTCTCTTTATAGAAAATAACCGAGTTATTTAAGTTAGGTTAGGTTAGGTTAGGCTGTAATATGTTTTTCTAATCATCTGAAAGCCAAGCGACACATCCGCTAAGCTCCCATTTCCAACTGACCTGCACAATTTTAAAAATCCAACATTTCCGCAATCTTCCGACCTATGATAGTCGTTTTCTTTTTCGGATAAACGAAAAAGAATTCCGGTGAAAATCTGTCGCCGTTGCCGGATCTGATAATGGCGCAGCTTTAGCCACTGCGGTCGGCAGTTTACTTTAATTGCGCGGGACTTGCAACGCGAAGCCGGCCAAAGATTTTAAGTTAAAATCTTTGCCTTTGATTTTAACAAGCTTTTATTTGGTCTCGGTCGGCCATAACAGTAACGATGATCTTTGAGAACGAAGGCGTTTGTATAAGAAGCAAACAACGATTTATTCTTGTTAGGGTTTATTCTTTTGGACGTTTTTTTTTATCATAGGGCACATCGAGAAGACTAGTCTTTCGTAGGAGATATTGGAGAACTACATTGGTGTGAGTTAGTCAAATTTGAACTTATGATGTTTCAATTAAGTATTATCTAATTATTTGGTTTCACTGGGATCAAGGCATGTAGACATTTAAGATTAATGAAGACTTGTACCATGGAATCATGATTTATCAGTCATGACAAAAAGAATAAACATGTGCTCTTTATTTTTAAGAGTGTATTACACTCTACTGATCGTGTGTGACCGAAAAAAATATATATTATATTATACACACCCAAAATTCCAAACACACGTGCTTTGATTACAGCTTGATTAAGGTTTTCAGAGCTTCATTTCTTATTACAAAACCATATAAATTATATATCACTGTAATCACAAAACTTCAATCTATCTCCGTATTGTAACGAAGTTTTAAATTATGTCTATGTTTTCGAGAAAATTTAGTCCAAACCTAAGACATATTTTGTTGATGTTTGACAATCAAAATCTTAAAAATAAAGAAGTTGTCTAAAAATGTGCTACAATACGGATATAGTATAATCCTTTATCTTTAATTTCCTTCTTCATTTGCTTAAAAATATC